TTTTTGGTTTTCTTTGAGACAGGGTCTCCTTGTAGCTCCAGCTGGGGCCTGGAACTTGCTATGTAGACCAGGCTGGCCTTGAACTCACAGAGATCCTACTGCCATGGCTTCCCGAGTGCTAGGATTAAAGGTGTAGGCCACCAGGTCCGGCACCTCTGAAGATTCTACAGACTAAGATTGGAACTTCTGGATTGTACAGAATTGGAATATTGCAGATCCAGAGTCAAAATTATCTGTGCTAGCTTTAGTCTCTTTACTAGCCATGTAGCCATTTATCACCAACCTCTGTATCTGACCTAATTTTTTTTTTTTTTTTGGTCTTTTTAAGACAGGGTCTCCTTGTAGCCTCAGCTGGCTTGGAACCCACTATGTAGACCAAACTGCCTCTGCCTCCTGAGTGCTGGGACTAAAAGCATGCCTGGCTGGCTGCTGACCTAATATTCTTTTGACTGTCAGATAAAACTTTTGGCATTTATTAACTTAGCAGACCACTAGCTTCTACCAAACCAAAAGCTAGAAGTATCCTCAGCATCTGAAGCCTATAGCAGCGATTTCCCTGCTTTGCTGTAACTCACCTACCTGCTGTCCTTGCCAATGTATTTGGTAAGTGCATTGACTTATGACTTTCTTTGGTTCTGTGACTATATAAATTCCCTGTAGCTGTTTACACTGTGGACTAATCAGGGCAAGCTGAGTTCATATTCCCAGGCCACAGACACTTATACTGGCTCAGAATAAACTTAGCCCCTTTGAGATGACAACTGTACTTTGAGCTGAGGAGAAAGACAGAATTCAGCTTTTTTAAAAATTTATTTATTTATTTATTTATTTAAATTAATTAATTAATTTGTATGAGTGTTTTGTCTGCAAGTATGTAAGTGCACCTGTGTCATCCGCCTGCCTCTGCCTTCCGAGTGCTGGGATTAAAGGCGTGTGCCACCATACCCGGCCTTATTTTTATTTTTTTTTATGCTTCTTCCTCAACTATAACTCATTTTTAAATTTATTGATTGTTTTGTGTGTATTTCATACAGAACATCCCAAACAATCTTATTCATCTTTATACCCACATCCCAAATGGCACCCTCCCATAACCCCCCACCACCACCACTGGAACCCATATACTCTGTCATGCCTGTTACTGTCCACTGTATTGTCAGTGCCCCCAGCTGTTCCCCAGTGCAAGCCCATCCACTGAGTCTGGTCAGCCTATCTAGAGTTCCTTGTTTTAGGAAGATCAGCTCTTCCTCATCTAGCAGCAATCAGTTGTCAATATTCCTTTAGATAAGATTGGGGTCTGCTGTTCATTTTCCCACTTCTATGCTGGGTTACTGTCTGGGAGTCTCTTGGGCCACTCTGACCAACAACTCAAAGGAACATATCTCCTGTCTGGCATTGATTCTTATTATGTAGCTGTGTTCCCCAGGGGCTCTGGTTCCTCCAAGGGGCGGGGCCTACTGCAGAGAATGGACTGAGTGTGAGTGAGCCTCAGAAGGAGGGGCTTGTGGTGCTGTCTTGGGACAGAAGTGGGAAGCTGCTAGTAATGCATGGGGAATGTGCAGCAGCAGGGCATACTCAAGGACAGAATGGCCTGACAGAATGGACCTGGGGTGAGACTGCTGGCCCCCGAGGTGTGAGTGAGTGCTAGTGGTGACTATGGGCATGCAATGGGAGCGATGTGGTATGATGGGTTCTGAGTGGCTTGGCGCTAGGCACTGGGTGCTCATTCCTTTGTAAGTTACTCCTCTCTACCCCCCCCCACGATAATAATAAATGCACACAAAGATATGTTATATGGTTTGCCTGATAGCGCAAGAGACTCAGAGAGAACTCTGGTGACAGTAGCCTTTAGCTATACACATGGACTCTTAAAGAATTATACTGATCACTTTAATCTTTGGTTCAAGTCCATCTAGTGGGATTTCCATGGCCTCCTTGATCAAGAGGACAGGTGACTCACCACAATTACAGGACATTTTGAGAAATGTTCCATAGTCCCCTGGAACTTAGTTGACCTTGGAAGGCAAGGAGCAAAAACTATCCTTTAAGTCCCTTGTTAGGGTCCGAAATTCGGTGGGTTTTCCCAGGGAACAAATGCATGAGCACAGAGATGTAAAACTCAAGCAGAGCTTTATTAAGCCAGCTAGCTGGGGTCGACTGTCCTCCCATGACATGCAGGTCTGGTTGGAGCAATCAACCCCAAAGCAACTTCAGGCAGAGATTATATAGGCTTCCACAGCCGTTGCACAAAACCCCGCGCCCGTGCTTTTTGCACAACCAATAATTTTAAAACACCACAACCAATAATTTCAAAACAAGAAAATGTTGCAACCCCCTTTAGGTGTCCTAATCGGGGAGGGTGGTATGTGTTTGGCGCAACCCTTCCCTGTTATCTTGTGTAAGCAGGCATGCCTACGTGACTTGTCACAGGTCAGGCTCTGGGGGCCGCAGCTCTTGCATCTATCTCCGGGTGTCTGTGTTTCTTTCTGATTCGAGTTAATTAGTCACAAGCAGTTAACTCAAATTCTTTCTCTTTTAACCCTTGACATCTTTTTCCTCCCTCCCTTACACCCTCTGACCAGATTAGTATAGGCCTCAAAGTATGGTTGTTAAACATCCAAGAAGGTTAGTTCCACCAGTCTGGTACTTTTAATTACCATGTGTTATGTAGATAAAGCTTGGGCAAAAACTAAATGTTCTCAGATACACCTTGACTAGACATATATTTTTGTTCCTTGAGCTAGTTGTATGTATAATTTGTCAGTAGGTTGTTGGATTAATATGGTTCCCTGTATTAGTCACTTTTCTGTTGCTGTGATAGAAACACTGACCCAAGCAATTTATAGAAAGAAGAGTTTATTTGAGCTTACGGGAGGCATGGTGGCAGAGGTGGCTGGAGAAGAGGTGCGGGAGCTAAGCTCTACATCTTCCAGCAGGCACAGGAAACAAGAGAACAACTGGAGATCTGGCAAGGCTAAAGAACTCTCTAAGCCCACCCCCAGTGACGTGCTTCCTCCAGGACAGCCACACCTTCTAAAACCTCCCAAAACAGTGCCATCATCTGGGAACAAAAATGTCCAAATACTTGGAGCCTATGGGGGACATTTTCATTCAAACCACCACATTCCACCCCTGATCCCCATAGGCTCATGACCATATAAAATGCATTTAGTCCAACTTTAAAAGTCGCCATAGTCATTATCAGTCTCAATACTATTCAAAAGTCCACAGTCCAAAGTGGACTCAGGTAAATATCTTAACTGTAAGCCTCTATAAAATCAAAAGACAAATTACATACTCCCAACATACAGTGGAACCGAATACACATTATTATTTCAAAAGGGAGGAATGGAGACATTGTAAGGAAATAATGGACCAAAACAAGACCGAAAACCGGCAGGACAAACACCAAATCCAGTAGCTCCATGTCCAACTTCTGGGACTTTACTTCCAAAGGGCTTGGATGGCTCAGCCTCTCTAGCTTTGCTAGTTGCAACACACATCTCTCTCTTGTGCTGGTACCACTCCCTGTATGCAGGTCTTCTTGGCAGATACCTCACAGCTCTGGCATGACGAACTTTTTGGGGTCTTCATTGCCAACCAGGCTTCACCTTCACAGCTTCACGCAATGGCCTATCAGGGCCTTCTCTAGGCAGGGAAATCCCTGCTTCACGCTGCCTGACCTCCAAGGCTCTCTGAAACCTCGGAGGAAGAATTGATGACCACTTCACTCTTCCATCTTTCATGCCTCTAAAGCCAGCACCAGGTGAATGACAATGCCAAGTTTGACTGCAAGTTTGGGATGGACTCCAGCCT